AATTTTGGTAAAGCAAGAACAACTTTCTATTCTACTTATTTGGAGACTAATGTATTTCTTAAAGATGTTTGTCTGTTGTCAAACCAGGAAAGGAAGGGGGTCTACTACTAGTGGCCCTGCCGAGCTATAGGCTCGTCACTTCTTATATATATTACATCTTTAATTTAAAGACTTTATTAATTGGTTAGATCAAGAATTAGCAAATGTTCAAGGATCTGGATTAGATGAAAAAACATAAAAATATATAAAGAAAAAAAATTCAGTCTGTTAACCCTAGCTGACTTAGAAAAATTATGTAAAAATATTAAGTATTTTAGAGGTGTTTTTATGAGGGATATGCTTCCTGCAACTGTTATAAATTTGAAATGTTATAAATAAATTAGAATGTGGTATAATTAATTTTGATTCTTTCTCTGGTAATGGAACTCATTGGATATGTTATTATAAAAAAATAAAATTGAGTATTATTTTGATTCTTATGGAAAAAGACCTTTTAAAGAAATAGTTAAATATTTAGGAAAAGATAATATATTTTTTTATGATACTCAAATTCAAAATTATGATGATCCACCTATATGTGGTCACTTGTGTGTTTTTGTATTAAATGAATTGAATAAAGATATAAGATTTGATAACATAATCAATTGATTCTAAATAAATATTGATTCATTAGATATATTTGATTTATTTGGAAGGCAGAAAAAATATTTGATTGAGGTCAAAAATGATTATATTAATCCAAAATTAAGTTCCTTTTTTAATGATGTTAATAAAAATTTAAGAAGTCATATTAATAAAACTAATAATTTGATTAATGCTATTAGTTTATCCAAAAATTATTTAAGTATTAATTCTAGAAGAATTGTTAATGTAAAACCAAGCATTAATGACTATGATGTTATAAAATCCGAATTAAATGAAGTTTTAACCCTCCAAGTGTTATTTGTCGCTGCAGCGACACATAACACACTTTGTGTAGTGTTTTGTGTCGATTTTTCGACTCACAAACACTGTTTACGGCGAAGGCTCTATGACTGACAAAATCGGATTGAACTGGATCGAGTTAGGTATCGTTTTATTTGGCAGATTCTAAGCTTTCTCCCGAGGTCTGTCTCTAAGCGCTTTTTTTTCTCGAGCCGATCATAATTGTAGCAGACAGCTGACGTGCCTATTTGTAAACAGCTTGCTTAACCTCGCACCGATGACTGATGTGTTTTATTACGTTTATCATTGTTTTAGTGTTAAAAATCAAAAGTAGTGATATACGTGGTGCATTATAAGAAGATTTAAGTGATTTTGAAGGGCTGGTTGATGATCCTGAAGAAGTAGGTAGTGATATTGATGTGAGATTTGTAAATTATCAGCCAGATTCCTAGCTATTCCAGCTATTTTTGTCTAAAATGAATGTGCCTGTGGTATTGTGTGGCGACATTAATATCGATATTCGCCTTAGAGAGCCTTTACCTCTCCAATTTCTGGATGCTCTCCGCTCTGTTGACTGCTATTGTGCAAATGAGAAGCCTACAAGAGGACCCGCCTGTCTCGACAATGTTATTACCAACTACCCAAGACAACTTCTAGATGTTAACGTTACTTCAGTGCCTTTATCTGACCATCAGGCTCTGGAAATTAAGCTAACGCCCACTGACTGTAGCAACAAACATCAAGAAACGACTTCGAAGATTACTCGTTGTTTTAGCCAAAAAAAAAATGAAAACTTTATGTCCTACATGCTTAACACTGATTGGCTCACTATCAATAGCAACTCCTGTGATAATTTTCCTGAACATTTTTTCATGCATTTCTTTCAGAGCTTTGACACTTTTTACCCTGTTAGAATTATGAAGTATAATGCGAAGAAATCTCTTAAGCTTGGGCCTACCTGGTTTAAGCAAGAACATCAACAAATGAGAAAGGAGTTATCGCAACTGTATGACTTCCTTCTCTGGGCTAAAAAATATAATCTTTCTGTGGATATTATTAGATTCAGGTATTTGGCTGCCAAACGAAGATATAAGAAAGCTCTTGTACAAGCTAAACTGGACCACAATGTGACTAAAATTTCCCAATCAGACAACAAATGTAAAACAGCTTGGGAGATTGTAAACAACTCCAGGAACAGGCCTACTCGTAATGATGACTGCAACCTCACACCCGAAGATTTCAACTCGTATTTCATCTCATCTGTGGAAGATGTCAGTAAACAAGTCAACCTATCTCCAGAAAGAGCGTCTGATTTGCTGGGAAATCACCAACACCCAAACCCCATCTTCAAGTTCAAACCTGTGTCCTGTGATCACATAGAAAATATTGTTAAAAATTTGAAAAGTGGCCATAGCAGAGATATCTATGGTATCAGTGGAAATTTTATCAAAAGTATGTTACCTGTGATTGTTCTCCCCCTAACCCACTGTGTCAACGAATGCCTGCGTACAGGGCAGTTTCCGGATGTGTTAAAGCTCTCCAAAGTGGTTCCTGTATATAAGAGAGGTGTTAAAGATTGTGCTGCAAGCTACAGACCGATCTCCGTTGTACCGACCTTTTCCAAAATTATTGAAAAGGCTGTGAAGCACCAGGTGAGTGAATATTTTGAAGTGAATTCACTTTTTTCAAAATTTCAATTCGGCTTTCGGGAAGGTTTATCTTGTGAGGATGCAGTCGACCGCCTTGTTTCAGCTGTGATTGATGGCTTTGAAAACCACCATAGTACCCTGACCACCTTATGTGATCTGACTAAGGCGTTCGACTGTGTGTCTCATGAGATCCTTCTCAATAAATTACTGTATTATGGTGTAAGTGGTGTGGAGCTAAGTTTTTTAGAAATTATCTGGCAAACCGCAGGCAACAAGTTTGTTTTAAAAACAGTCTCTCAGAGGTAACGGTAGTCAAAAGTGGTGTACCCCAGGGATCGGTTCTGGGCCCTTTTCTGTTCCTTGTTTTAATTAATGACCTTCCTGTAAATATTAGTAGTAACAAAGTCATATTTGCTGATGACACTACCTTTTTCTGTTCAGGTAACAATATTGCTGAGCTCTGTAATATTATGTCTGATGTGATGGCAGATGGCACAATCTGGTTTGAAGCAAATGGCCTCCTTTTGAATACCAATAAAACTCAACAAATATGTTTTTCCTTGTGCCAGTTTGATGTTCAATCTGATGTAGTTGTAGATTCTGTCGTTAAGCTCTTAGGTATTACTGTTGACACCAAACTTACATGGGATTCTCACATACAGAATGTTTGTACCAGACTATCTAGAGTGATTTCTCTTTTGTGGCATTTAAAGAAGCTGATCCCTAAAGTGTACCTGAAAAATGTGTATTATGCTTTGTTTAATGGAATAATTTCTTATGGCATTCGTCTGTGGGGGAATGGCCACAGTATTGATAAAGTCTTGCGCTTACAAAAAAAGGCGATGCGTATAATCACACACTCAGCTTTTAAAGCACACTGTAAACCACTCTTTGTCAGCGAAGGAATTTTGACAGTGATTAACCAGTATATTTATGTTTGCCTGTTGCATGTTAAGCAACATCTGCATGAGTATCCACTCAGAAGTAGTGTGCATGGTTATTGCACTAGAAGCACGTCCTCACTCAATCAGCCTTATGTTCGTTTGAGTAAATCACAATCCCAGCATCGCACTATGTATATTAATCTATTTAATAAGTTGCCTGTTTCTGCACATAATGTATCTTTCACTAAGTTTAAGTTGTCTGTTTACAATTAATTGGTTGGTTGCAAGGCCATTTTACAAGCTCGATGAATTCTTTGTATTGCCTGTTGATATTCAATTTTAAATTCTGTCTGTCTGTGATATAGCCAAAGGCTGAGTTGTTTTATAAGTTATTTATCTGTCTGTTTGTTAGTATTGTCTTTAAATTTTATACTGTTTTCTTGCCCCTGCTATGTTTTTTTCTAACTTATTTTAAACACACTGCATGTATTGTATACACATTGCACCTGTTTTCATGTTTGCTCTAGTCTTTGCATACCTATGTTTTTTATAAACTTCAGTATTTTATTTTTAAGATGACTGTGATACTTTTTGCATGTACTCTGCACTTGTTTATATTTTATTGTCTATATTTATTTAGCCTTATTGCCTGTAAACTTTAGGCTACTATTATGACGTTCATCCATTGCATGTGTTGTACATAGCGTTAACGATGAATAAAAATTCTTGATTCTTGATTCTTGATTCTATGGTTAGGCTATGCATTCTTAGCTAAACGCTATGTACTGAAATCTGTTTTTTGCCCATAACTTATTTATTTGCAAATCTACTTCCTTATATTATTATATATTTGTAATCCTCATAAAATTTAGAACAAAGTGGCTATTTTCAAATATTTATAGGCCTATAATTTATACAATTTCATTGAGCGCGAACTTATTTTCCAAAATATTTTTTTATTTTACCTAAAAAATGTTTTTGAAACAAATGTTCCTTATGTTTTATGTATAATATTGAAGCCCATGATTTTCCAAACAAAATGGTATATAGAACAGTATAATTAACATTGTTTTTAAGCTTCTCAGATCCGTTAGGGACACTCGGAGGGTTAAAAGCGTCCTTTTACTGACAAAAATATCAAATTCTTGTAGACACCAAATTTAGAGCTGTAGATTGTTAAAATTGCCAAAAATATATATTTTTAAAGAGAATGGATGTCTCTTTTAACCTTGCATTTATTTACCCATCCACATAGGCCTTGAGCTTGTGTGTGGATTGTATCCAGCAAAGTAAGGGATGAACTGTTATGGTAAAATTTAGTGGCAGGCACAAGGATCGAAACCCACTACATCGATGCCATGGATTCATAGTCTGTTGAACGCTAGGTTACCGACTCACACGTATTTCTAAAGTCAGGTTGTCTGCAAAATTATGTTTTGTAGTTTTATTTACAGCTGGCTTAATAGGTAAGCTATATGATGACAATTGAATGGTGACAAAATTTATTTCTCAAGATGAGTGTATGAACAACTAAAGAACTTACCATGTCAGGAACTGAGAAGTCCAGTAAACGACCCTCCATAGATTGGGCAAGACATCTTCTGGGACATAGCTCCAAGGTTCTTCACACATCACCAAATTATCTGAGCGAGGTGTCGAACTGGTGCCATTGGTTGAGTTTTGAATCATATTTTCGTTTACACATTGTCGAAATACAGTCTGAAAAAGTTACATGCAATAGTTTTAGTGTCAATAAGTAGTTAAATAAATTAAAATGAAAACCTATGTTGAAACCAAAAGCAGCACAACCTTGTTATTGTAAATAAAAATTTACAACCTCATTTAGAGAGATTTTCGTATACTCTTTAAAACTGTTTGTACAGTATTACATCTCTGAGGAAAATGATTACGAGCAAATGTGCATTGAAGAAGTAAACGTACATTGAAGAAGTTTGCAATACTTTGAGAGTAAGTACCGTATTATGTACATGTAGGCGTCAACGTGGCCCGTACAGTCCCACTGGTAAATGAGCCATTGGTAAATCATTACGACTATTTGACTAACTCTGTCTTCCAGCTTCGGTCTACCACAGAGGCAAAACTTTGTAGTGTTGTTATGTGCATAAAAGGTGGGTTTACTACTGGCCTACCAACTAAAATTATCAAGGATAACTTCATGGAACTAAAACAAACTCTTTTGCATGTCATCAACAACAGATTACTTCAAGGTAAAACTCATAATAAATATATCAAAAGTGGAGAAAGTTTGCCCTTATACAAAAGAGAAGAAAAAATCTATTTAAATTGTATTTTAAACAACACAATATTATAGGGAGTTACTGAGTTTGTCAAAATGATATATTAGCAAGGTTTTTTTCTGATTTTATTGTTGATTTTCTTCTGCATCATGTCATATTTTGTAATATAACCTCCTATTACGAAATCAGTGGAAAATCGTAATATCACAGTAACACTTGAAACTATTTCTTATCGAGTTAACTTATATCTATTGTACGGGTTGGTGTCTGCCTTTTTGACCACTTTTGCCTATATTTTGTCATATTATTCAAGACAGATCATCGTTCCGTGTCCATATTTTGTTAAACTAATAGTGGTTTACAGCTACTGGATTACATGTTTAAACAACACTGCACTTCGACTGTAAAAAAATTGGCACCAAGAGTAATTACCATTTAGACAGCTGCTGTCACAGGAAGGTCATGACGTTTCCTTTAAACTAGATCTCATCATCCTTTACAAGATTCGTTGATTAACAACAATGCATGTAAACGTCGCTATTCACATAACAGACAGTATTTGCTTTTTGGAAATGCAGCATTGCTTTGTCATTTGCATTATTTGTTGTCAATGAAGCCACACGAACATATGAACGAGGCCCCTAACAGTCCAAGAATAAAAGCCAGGTTCACTACAAGTATATTCCACTACACCTAACATTCCGAAGAGAGATAATATTGAAAAATGTATGTAACTGATAAGGCTGAGACAACTGACATCCACATCTCATGCAATTCCAGATTTAACAGTAACCCTGCGACCAACTTATCAAAATTATGCTAGAGGGTTATTCATTTGCACAGAAGTACAGTATGATGACCAATGTAACGAAGGAAAAAATAAAACTTACACGGCTTTAGGGTGGGCCTCCGTTTGAATTAAGAACGTGCCTTCTCAACAAACAGATATTTTTCTTAAAAACAGCATAGATTTAATCTGCAAAACATTGATGAAATCGTGGAAGTGTTTACCACAAAAGATCCACCAATACGATTTTAATACTACTAGTTGCTCTGCCCGTGCTTCGCTACGGGGTGAGAATGCAGAAAAGAATAATTTGGTTTTACTTTAAGATACTATAATATACTATAAGGAAGTTACAACACACTTACCAGGAAACATATAGGCAAAGGCTCAATCTTACTTATTGATTATTTAAATGAATATCTCTTAATGTATTACAGTACCATCATTTAACATAGAGTATATCATTTAAAATATATGCAAAAGTATAACTTATTGACCACATGGCACTAAGAAACAATTCTCCTTGTAAACAAATTAAATTAAATAAATAGCAGAACAGCATTTCTGACAACAGCTGGAGTTTCATAACAATGTTTGTTTCCCATGTTAATCTTATGGAGAAATACGAAACTTTAAAGGGCCCCAGGGCCTCACTCTCTATTTATTTCCCTATAAAAAAAGTTTCCTTCACAACTTCACGTTACGCTCTTTCCAATGACACCAAAAACATGGCAATCGGTTCAGTAGTTTCGGAGGAGTAATTGTCACAAAAAATCTGCTTGCGTATTAAATAAGGATATAGATATAGATTTAAAGGTTCCTCCAAAAGCATTCTTCATTATATTCCTCTAAAAGAAGAGAAACCAGTTAACATAGTAACAATAACTCCTATGATGAACTCCTATGATAACTCTACTGTATAAGAAATATGTTATTCATTGAATGATCAAGTTGATCTCAACCATATTTCGTAACTAACGCAATAGACATTATTGTTTTAACACTTATTTATTACTCATTAAACGATGCTAAATGCTCAATTTTTTTTATAATTTTACTCTATTTATCGCAGTTAGATGAATTAGCACAAGCCTTTAAAGAAACCGTCGGTTTCGACGGGTTTCACGTAGTAAATATATAATAGTTTAAATAAATTAATATGGGAAATTACGATTTACATTGATTCAATGTGGGTGGGTAATTATCAAGGATATTAGAACTGATAACGGTATGGATAATAAACATAGACAATTACGTCACTAGCTTTACTAGCGTGTAAACTTTTTAAACTCCTTTAACATGTGACAGGCTCTTTTTTTCAAATGAATGTTATTTGAACCAAACAGCTGTTTAAAAACAAACTATGTGTTATTGTTTTTACTTTTCTTTCCTTACACTTATTTAGCAATTGATGCAGTGAAATTGATATAAAGGATAGGTGTGGTCGATTCGTTTAATGATGTTAGAACACCAAAGTTAAATTATGTGTACTGTGAATATTATTGTTTTATTTTAGGTGGTTTCTATTCAGACCTACTGGAAATTGTGTATAGTATGAGTAATTGTATTGTGGTGATAATAATTATGGAAGAGGCAGGCATGCGATGGAATTGGAAAGTGGTATCGTTGACTAGGTCTATACACTTCTCTATTGAATATTCCTTTAGATAAAGTAATATAATATAAATATAATATTAATTCATCTATGCTATTACTCTCTCTACTGTAGGCTACTTATAATCAGTGTGTGTCTGTGCGAATTGGCCGCAAATCTCACTTCAACACTTTTCATATCGTCACAATTGCTGTGTTATTGTAAAATTATCAGATTTCAAATGCATATCGTATAGGGCCTATGATGGGATAAAAACATGTTTGGTCACGCAACATTTTGTTTACAAGATGATTTTTCACATTAAAACTGAAAAAAAAATTTTCTTTATACGTGTAAACTAGCTGTTCTGAATTGTACACAGTTTTAACTGACTACTCAATTCCCGTACGTAGGACGGGCTAACACCTCGTATTATATAAAGTGTGATCTAATCTGAAGGAGCTCAAAACCCTTCCTTTTAAGTCAGCAGCTGCTGAAAAGGTAATTATCCTTGTACAAATATCCTCACAGTTGAAGTGCAGTGTTAGAAAATGTATTATATGGTTTCTCTCAGGTATCGTTAGTTAACCTGGTACAAAGGTTTTGCTAATATATATTTCAATAATATTCAAATAGACTCTAAGAGTGTCAGTTTAATTAGTAGACCTATATATTATGGTTCAACCTAGCTACATGTGCACATCAAAGTAAAAATCCCGTACAAATCTTTTAAACACAATCTTCCATATTGATGGCTTCTATTTCCAAAATAGCACATGTTTCTCTATGAAAAGAAAATGCCTAATAAAATTTTAAAAATCAACTCAGTTGCTATTAAATTACCTACTTCACCAAAACCATAGATTAAACTTACTCCTGTGGTTAGTCTATGCCAAAACTTGAATACGGCTCACATCCTCTACGTACTTCTATACACTTACATGGATTTTATTGTATGTCACAATATTCTTCCCAATTATCGAAAACATGTATGCTTATAATCTCACAAACCTCTGACGTTCTTTCTTGAATGTAATAATAGATGATTATTGAAAGTAGACCAAAAAGGCAAGTGTCAAACCCTACAATAAATACTAACCCCATAAGGAATACTTATCTATTCCTTTGGCATTGATATGTTACACTGATTTCATAATAGTATAACATTTTCTAAATTCATTAAAGCATAGATTTTTTATTTAAAAAATTTAATTGTAGGCCTATCATAAATTCACCATTTTGTTCAAACTATTAAACAACTTACCATGCAATGAAAAATCAATTTAAAAATCACAAAATAATGTCAACATTTCATTTTGACAGATTCAGAAATGCTTATTACACGTGACGTGAAATATCTACCTAAATGAATCTACCTAAATGGTCTTTTTCAAGGCCATTATAGTCTGATTTTTAACGGAGGGCGGCTGGAGCTCAGCCCTACCTGCGAGGGACCCGACTCACGCACGCACACTCACCACCGTCCTAATTGCCTGAAAGCCACGATCCCCTATTCACTAAGTAGAAATATAACATCTGTTGTATGATACCTCAAAATTGCAATTCATTTTATGTTAGATATACAGTAAAATGGTTAGTGTTAATAAATTTGTTGTTTAATTCAATGAAAAATGAGTCCAAACACGAAATGATTATGACGAGTAGTTCACTGAACGGGGACAATAAAAAGTCAGATTGGCCAACATCAACTTTATGTACAATTGTACGCTATTTTTCTGGCCAAGAAAATCCTATCTGGACACAAAATATGTTGATTTAAATATTTAAGTATTTTTACAGTGAAAAATAAATTACCAGTAGGCCTATTATATAATTGACATGAAACCTCCCCGTGAAAACTTATGCAGATATTCATGCCCTATTATTTAGATATTGTTATTTAAAGTTACCCATTAGTTAACCAGTGTGAATAAATTTCTTTTAATAAAAAAGATTGCTCAGAAATCTGTTTATTAATATAATAAATCAAATAATATTATAAAGCCTTATCAATAAAGTGACAAGATATAAAGTAAGAAGTAGCCTTATGGGTCATCTACATCTATATATAAAGCCAAAA